TGGAGTAGTGTATCGCATTCTGGGTCAAAATTGTCCTTATAATTACACAGGACAGACTGGGCGCATGCTCGGATCGCGCATACAAGAGCATAAGCTGGCTGTGCGGCGAGGCGACGCATTATCACAATTGGCCGCTCATACCTGTGAAATGGGTCACGAGTTTAACCTCGCAGCCACCAAAATGGTCGTCCACGCCGGAAACAAAACAGGTCGGTAATTGATTGAAGCCTGGTCCTCGGATGAGAACTCGGTCAGTCGATTTATCGATCTGGCGCCGGCGAACAGAGCCCTGCGTAGTCACCTCCAGTCTTGTGCCGTCGGTCGATGATTGGCCTGCATGCCTTATAACTGTCGCTTGTTCTGCTGCTACCGCTACCTCTGACGATGGACTCCTGTACGAGTCTGAAAGCTCAGGACCATAAACACGGTGTTCCGGTGCTCGACTCTTCATCTTCACTTATACCTCTAAAAGTTTACAGAGATATTCCCGGGTATGATTCTAAAATCTAAAAATTCGTGAAAACCGCCTTTTGGCAAAAGCCGGACTTAGTCTGATTAAAAGCTGCTTTATTTTACTGATACCATCCCAAATAAATGTCGGTGTGGTTCAACCGACTTGATGCTCATGTTCATGGATTTAATAATGTGGTGATACCACTGGAGGCCTGTGCGGTTTTATGTATGCTACCTTAGTTTACTCCCCCTTACGCAGGTATGCTTGTTATGTTTATGGAGAATGAAAAGAACAGAAGGTGTTCATGACTTTGCACAAAAAAGGGTTCAGAGTGCTAATTAATCATAGCAGTATATTTCAGGTGACGCTAAGATTTAGGGTAGTTTAACTGCATCGTGTGGACTCCAGTGAAGCTTTCCGTGTAATTTATAAGGTCCCATCGACCTACCCTAAGATACTGGGCCAGCACCTGTTAACAAAAGCAGAAGCGGCCGTCATCAAGTTACCAAAACCAATCATGTACGTACAGAAGAACCATCTTCAGGCTCCGCGCCTACAGTGGTCGAAAGCCGACTAACGCTGCAACTCTCCGCGCCCTTACGCTCTCAGCCCGCCCCTGGCAATGACTGCCATTACGCCCAATGCCCCCCGCCCCCCATTCCTACACCCCGCCTCTGCTTTAGGGCAAAGTTTAGTCGATTCCTCTTATCACTGGCACGTTCTCGATTCTACCCCGTTCCCGTATATTTGTATTGGCCTGAAGAGAATTTATCGAAAGCAATGTATGCTCACCACCTCGTCTTCTGGTTACTGCTATGGAAATTTTCGCAACTGCAGATATTTGTTTACTTCAAAGTTATAGATTCCCAGTATTTGAAAAAAATTGGGTCCCACTGAAACAGAGCGGAATTGTTCCTTGCAAAACCTTCAAGAAATCACCATAAAGCCCAATATGAAGGCTCATTACAAGAAAATAATCGATGTTAAAATTAACAGCATAATCTGCATCTCTATGCTCCAGCTGCTGTCATTTTCGAAGAATCGTTTGTAGTGAAGGTCAAAAACTTATAAGCTTAAAATCTCGCTCAAAGCCTAATTGTTAACATTTTGCTTTATACTGGTGGACGTGAGTCAAAGGTCCTAACTGACCAAACCATTAATTATATCTGTTATCAGCTACAAAATGTGGCGTTGTTCTAGACGCGTGAGAGTTAGATGCCAGTCACTTCCTTTGATCATCTCTACTTCCCGCTAATATCCGTCATTTTTGAATCCGTCGGCAACGGCTCTTCAATGCTTACGATCTCAACGTTCATGACGCGAATCAATAGGCCACTAAGAAATCGCGAAATTCGCTGGCATCCGATTATGGCCCTGCCTCATCAGTGGGGAATCCTGATTACCTCTTATCGCTGGTATATTTGCCGTTATCAATACGTCCCATTTACACACAGATGGAGCGACTGCAATGCAGACTTCCATCAGTATCCTGAGACGATGTTTAACGCAAATTTAAGTGCGTGTACGTTGGTTTAAAAGACGGCTTTTCGTTCTATCGGCGAGATATATATAAAAGTTTGATCGAAAGTTGTTTTTAAACCGCAGAGAAATGTCATAGCAACGTACGTGTGAAACGAACAGAATCTCAGAGGTTAGTTGGGAACCCAAAACTTTGTCCCCACCCTCAGGCTAGTAAGGAACGGTTTGAGCAGCAATACAGATACAACAAGCTCCAAAAACCACTGTTTCCGGCGGATTTTGTGTGTTCCTTTTGCGTGCCTCAACCTAACAGACTTTGCAGCAGAGGACAAATGGTAAACATAAATCCGACAGAAAAAAGACAAGAGTTTCTTAATGCCTCTGACACTGGCTATTCAAGTAATGGGAAACCCTACGTTCGTGGTGTATTACTTCCCCCCTTCCTGGTGGTCCGTGTTCTCCGTTCTGGCATGTTCCACGAGAATGTTTCCTGGAAACTAGGGGACAAAATTTCCTTCGATCACATTCTAGATGAAGAAGACCTTACAGATCACTTGTAGTCATGAATTAGCCTATAATAATAGCCTATTACGAAGGGAACTAGTTGTGATGGCTAGACAACACATTTGTATAGTTCACGGAAATCTATACCAAAATTGTGAAGCATATCGAGCTTTGCTGAGTCATTATTCCCACACTGGGATCGTTCCTGTTGAGACCTTCAAGGAAACATTTGAAAATCATATGAGCACTTATCGAAAAGAAATACTCGAGGTTAAATTTTACGTTAGACGCCCAGGACACAGTTTGTATCAGTTCAATTTGCACAAACATGCCAGCCTTTACTTGTAAGTCGGGATGTTTGATAAAGCTGCAAGTATCTGTCCCAGTCGGCTTCGATGGGCCCACCACGATAATTCAACTCAGCGACACCATCAAGGGATAGGTAACGAATAGTGCGGCAGCCAATAAATGAAACTAGTGCTCAACCGTTAGTGATCCGTCGGATTCCACAAGGCAAGGGAAGACTGCTCAGTTAAATTGACAAGGCAGTTCTGATCAAAGCACAGCAGCAAACCAGGAAAGCGGTTTACGGGGCGTGGTACACATGGCTGCGGCATTCTTGATGGTGATGTTAACTACCTAGCTGGGACTGGAGAGTCCAGTGGACAGCTTCGCAGTCTGAATCGACGACTGTATCCCCAAGCTAGGCCGTAGGCGCCGTCATGTTTGCCGATGTTGTCAAAGTCTGGCGAGCCATCGGGTCTGACGGAGATAAGTGCACACGTCGAGAGTCTGAACCGGCTTGGTAGACTGTCCGCACGTAGACATTTAAAATTTAATGTGGAAAGGTGTGCGGTCCTGAAACGCCGTAACAGAAGGTTTAATGATGAAGATGCTTCTTACTGCTACCTTTTTGGCGGGCAGTCCCTTTCAAATGTCGAGGAACAGAAGGACGTCTGCGTTCTACTGTCCTCGCATAAACCGTTGCCTTAGTGTTCCAAGTCGGTTAAACGAGCAACACAAGGACTATTAACGCTGAGACGAGCGTTTGTACATACTGATCGGAAACTGTTAGGCAAACCTCACAAAGCATTCGTTCGGCTTCACTTGGAGTAGGCTATACAGGCCTTGAGTCTGTGGCTCAAAAAGGACTACCAACCGCCCAAAGGAGTCTAGACAAGGGTTTTAAATATGATGAAAAATCATAGACCTCCGTCTGATGAAACCAGACTGACTGAATCCGATTTGTTTTCTGTAGACTGCAGGCGACTCCGCAGTGATATCATTCAGGCCTACTGGGTGGTTAGAGGTCGTGAGTTCGTCCCTCAGTTCGATGCCTTCTTAAAACTGGCTGGAACTGCCTGACCGTTCGTTCGCCCCTTTATGATGTGAAAAAGCCTAACCCACATGGACATCTGCGGAACACGTTGTTGTAGATGGTCGTTGGGAAACATTCTGCGGTGGTACTTTCAGACACCGTCGAGGCACTTAAGTCCACACATGATAATTATTTGTTGAGAAACTACCACGCATATAAGTGGGTATGATTTTTTCGGTGGCGGCGATCCGCGTCTGGCGAAATCATGCCAATGAAATCACACCTTCCAAATTACTTCTGTGAAAATGATTTTTCTGTTTTTTCGGATACGAGTGGGAAGCTCAAGGACAAAAGTCCCGTCCTCCAGATAAATCTCTTTAAAGGCGCCCGGGTGCCGTCGCATTCTGCTCGAAAAACAGATCGCTTTTACCAACCGCGAATGCGATACAGGCCCTGTTTTCCCTCCTCCTCCTCCTC